GAGAGAGAGAGAGAGAGAGAGAGAGAGAGAGAGAGAGAGAGAGAGAGAGAGAGAGAGAGAGAGAGAGAGAGAGCAAAACTTCATTGGCCCTTGGCTCCATCTCAGCATTTTCTGTTCATTGTCGGCCACAAAAATAAATCTCGACTCTTCTCTTTTCACCTTCTCTTTTGGCCTTCATCTGTGTGTCTATACGCATATCTCCCCTCCTCGTGGGGGGCCTGATTTGCCAAATACCCCCATAAGTTGAGAATCTTGAGATACTTGTCAAAATGTCCCTGAAAGATCTGGGTGCAGTGGAATGGCCTTCTCGGCTGACATCCTTGTATTATCCCCCTGTCAGGCGTGTGTGCAAATTTGCGATCCTTGCCTCCCCATTTGGGCCTTGGCCTTTTGCAATTGCGCCTGCAAAAAGTTAGCAACTACAGGGGCATTTTGCAAAGTTGGATGGTGTCCGGTAGGGGTACATCGCAAAGATGGGGTTCAACCGATGTCTGGGGTGTTTGGCAAAATGTTTTTGTCTTCGTCCTTCGCCGCAGTGTAGCTGCGGTAGGTCCCCTTGTTTTTGTAAAAACAAAAAAATAAAAAAGAAGCGCAGAAGGGGTGCTCCCCTGTTCCATTCCATGTATCCATGCATGCGTTGTGCGAGTAAGGGTATTGGTGACCAGGCAGGATGTGGTAGTAAGAAGCTGATCAAGGATGTTAATGAACTGAACCATTGGGGTGAATGTGCTGCACCTTAGTTGGATTTCCTTGCAGTCATGTGGTGTTCTAATTCACCATGAACGAACAATGTTTCACCTCGAGAGATCAAACACGCGACGAGTTAGCGAAGCACAGGGGTGAAGGGCTGTGCCAAAAATGTGTACTAATTGCCTCGAGCAGTTGAGACAGTAGAACCTGCAAAGCTGTGCGGAATGGGACCTGAGAGAATTGATGTGTGGGGAAGAGTTGCACAGGCCGTTGGTTGGCACCCCTTGATTGGTCGGCACCCCACTAAAAAAAATATATATATATATATATATATATATATATATATTCAGCCTCCTGATGAGTCGGTGAAACTCCGACAAAACAGTTTGTCACAGCCCCTCGTTTGTTGCTGTCTCTTATACACATCTAGATGTGTATAAGAGACAGCCCCTATACCCCTCCATACCCCCCAAATCCCCCCCCCATACCCCCTCCCATCCCCAAAATTTTCTCAGCGGATTTGGGCTGTACACAGCAAGTGCAGTACAGCCCCATAGTCAGATTGAGAAAAAAAAACAGTGGATGGTTGTTTACTGACTGGTCGGCAGACCGTCGACCGGTAGGCTACCGGTAGGCTGCAAAATGGTCAGCAGTCGGGGAAGGCGGTCGGCGGGTATGCAACGCTGGTGTGGAGATAATTAGTATAAAAGAACTGCAATTCCACACTTAATGAATCACTAACTAAGCGCCCGAGGTGCGGGCGGCACAGAAATATAACAAATGTTGTAGGTAACCTCACAAGGACCGCTCGCATAAACTCAGACAGACTTAAAAAAAAAAAAAAAAAAAAAAAAAAAATAAAAAAAAAAAAAAAAAAAAACTAGCTGATACCCAAAGAAAAAAAAAAAAAAATTGACGATAAAAAAATACATGGGTGTGGGTGCCTGGGTGGGTGTGGGTGGGTTGGTGGGTGGGCTGGCGAGCGTGCGTGCGTGTGGGTGGGTGGGTGGGTGTGGGCGGGCGTTCATGGGTGCGTGTCGGCGGGCCGCCCTTTACGGTGGGAAAAACAACCGGACCCACTCACGGTAAACAAAACAAAACAAAACAAAACAAAAAAAAACGTGCACAAAAACGACGAATAAGAAAAGGGAAAGTGGGCCACAAAGAAACACGCAAAAGCAAAAAAAAGCAAAAGGGAAAACGGGGCCACAAAACAACAGCCCCCAGGGAAAAAGAACAAAAAAACAATGACGGGGAACACAGAACGACGCGCAAAAATGTACAAAAAAAAAGAAAAGAATGCCTGGCACACAAAACGACGCGGGAAAACGAAAAAAAAAAAAAAAAAACGGCGCCCATGCATATCGGAGGGCTCTCCTCCGAGATGTTCTTCCACATCGAGGCCTGCCGTGTGCCCCGCCCCCGGGGCATGCTCTCTCGTTTAATGGCGCGCTGTGAACATTTCGGTATGCGCACCCCTCTGCACTCTCCCCTGCCCTCAACCCCACCAAAACTTCAACCCGAATCCGGCGCGCAGCGCGTCATGGACCTCCCCCCCACGGCCAATGCTGCTTAAGGGATAGGATATGTGGGCTAAAAATGATTTTTATCACGGGAAAGTTGGGGTGATTGATTTCGACAATTTCTCAGAAAGACATATGAAAGGGTAATTTTGAATTTTCTAACTCGAGAGGGAAAGCCAGTCACCTGACCGGGTTGGGCGGTAATGAAAGGAGTCTTTCATCCAGGAGAGTTTTCGATGTCTCATTGCACTCACTATCTTTATCTCTTCTCTAATCCCTAATTACTTCTAAGGGATAACCCAGTCCTCATGCTACGCTCCCCCCTGGGCCCAGAGAAAACCGATGGCATGCAGGACGTCCTGAAAGGCAGACCTCTGGCAATGCAAGGACCGCATGGCGACCTTTTAGGTTGCTTTTATCATTTTATGAGGTGGCCCCATGACGTTTCAGTTTTCGCTGTGCGTATCGGTTCACTTCTGTTTTCCCCAAGCCCCCTTTCCTGTGAGGCAGTGCCAGGTTCACTTCTGTTTTCCCCAAGCCCCCTTTCCTGCGAGGCAGTGCGAAGTGTGTCGCGTACGGGAGTCCGCGGGACATTCCAGTTGTGGCGTCTCTGTTTTCTGCGCAGCGTGTGTAGGTCCGCCTTTGTTTTCAAGCCCCACTGTCGTGTTTTGTCGTTTCCTGAGCGGGGCTATGTGACCATTGGAATACAAGTACATAGTAGTCACAAGCACAGTTCTACCAAGTCCTGACAGTAAGCACGCTCTGGATGCAGTCGCAGTCCAACTCGTCTGTGTTCGGCTGTTCATTCTGTGCAGGGCCTACACAACTCTTGCATGTTTGAATACAAGTACATAGCAGGCCCATTTGAGGGCATACTCTCATAAGGACAGTTGCACTAAGCTCTGGACGTTATTGCGGTCGGATTCATCCCACTTGGCCATTTAGGAAAGTGCTCCAGGTTTGGTTGTAATTGCAGTCAAGTACATTTAGGAAAGTGATAGCCTGACTCAATTTGAGACGTGATTGCAGTTAGATTCATCCAGGTATCAACGGGTGTGGCCTTTTTTCTTCTTTTTTTTTGTGACACGGATGGAGGCGGGGCAGTCGTTTTTTGGGGGTCCTTTGCACCACCCACCCGACATGCCGTCCGCCATGTACCCCATGCTGTACCGTCCAGCCTGCGAGATACCATCCTGTCCACATGCTATGGACCATCCCGTGTAGTACTGCCCAACCCACATAGTATCACCGAACCCTCATTGACAGTTGATGGGTGTACAGTTCGGCTACATGGGCTGGGCTTTCTTTTTTGGGGGGATGGCAGCAGGATTCTTTGGGGGATTGATTGGATCACCCGGCCCACATGCCATCCCCTGCAGACCATATTGTGTGCTGGCTGGCCCGCACAGTACCATCCACTCCACATACTATGGCTCGGCCCACGTAGCGCAGCACAACCCACATGATATCACGGACCCCGCATGATACGGCCTCGTGCACATAGTATAACCTACCCCGCTTACTGCCACCTGACCCCCTCAGTATCGCCCGGTCCACAGAATAGCGTGCCACCCACATGGTACCGCCCACTCCACATAGTATAACCCACCCCATATATATCAACCCGACCCACATGCTACCTCCCGTGGCATACAATACAACCCATCCCACATGATGCCACCCACTCCACATATCATGACCTGGTCTGCGTGGTACAACCCGACCCCTATGGTAATGCTGACCAGACGGCATAATATCGCGGACGAAAATGGGGTGGAGGAGCAGGTGTGTACTGTGCGCGTATCCGTGGGGGGCAGTCACTTGTGGTTCTAAGGCTTTACACGTTTACGTAGTTTCTGTAAAATGGTGCAGATCAAATGGTACAGAACACAAAGGCCGCCTCGGAGACTGAGGGCCAGTAGGCCCTAATGTGGCTGGCTGTGGCATGGCGCAGGCCAGGCCAGGCCACGCCAGGCCAAATCAGGGTCAAGGCCTGGCCCTTCAAGAACTGGTAGCCCCCAGCCTTGTCAGGTTACTTCCCAACTTTGGCCTCTCTGGGCTACCTAGTGAGGATGTGTCCCAAACCCCGGCCTCCTGTATTTGTTGGTTCCTGGACCAGCACGTGGTACATTCTGGCTGTCAGGCTGCGGCCAGGCTGCCTGAGAGCTGAGTGCTTCCAGACAGTGCGTTCAGGGAAGGAGTGCAGACAGGGGAGAGAGAGTTTTTTTTTCCCCTTGCTCAGGCTGGCCCCATAAGCATTCATTGCACAGGCTCAACTCTGAGCCAGTCGATGGACTGATGAACTCTAGTTCCAGATCTTGGGAAAGCTGACAACAGCACTCTTTTCACTTGTCTTCTTTTCATTTCTCCTGCCGTGCAGGACGCCAAACAGGTACAAGGCCAACCATACGGAACAATGGAGACCAAAATACAATGCCTTGGCATTGTGCATGTGGCAAGATGGTAGCCTTGTCAGGACGTAGCTCATTGGCGGCATTGGTACAGTACAACCATGCATCATTCACTGGATCATATGTGCTGCGGGTTAAAGTCTTCACAGAGGGATGAAGGGCAATGCAGGTTGGGAACCCTGAACTCGTTCGGTGTTTGCACGGATCTGCCTTGCCAGCCATGTCATGGGCGGATGTTCCTTGCAAGCCATGCCACATGGTACCCCACGTGTGAGTGGCTCCCGTGATGAGATCTCTGAGCAGATCCACTGTGGGGGTGTCTACCGTCTTTGCCCGAATAGAGCGTATGGTGATCATGCCCGTATTGGGGCCAGCTTTCAGTCCAGATGCCGCAATGACAGCTGTAGGTTCTATTCGGGGGGGGGAAGATGATAGTGGTCATCCTCACGATGAAGATAACACAAACATGAATGCACGGAGTCTGCCTTGTGGGCATGTTAAGGTTCACTTGATGTCATTCATCCATGTGACAAGATTGCAATGAAGGTTGTAGCCGATGTCAGGGGGGCAAGGGCTCACTCACACTACAACCTTTTCGACCGCATGAGAGCCAGGAAGACTCATCTAGGGAAATTCCTTCTGGCGGTAGTGTGTGAACAATCTAACAAGTTGACTGAGCTGATGGTCTTGGGCCATTTTAGCATTGTGTGTAACTCCCGTCCCTCCCCCGATGAACTTTCTGGCCAAGCACAGCTGTAATGACCATGCGGGGGAAAGGCAGGATTCATGACTTCAAAACGTTATGCTTCGCATCTTCTGCCTCCTATAATGATTGATATGGCTCCAGAACTGGGAACAGAGAGGGAATTATGTAGGTCTTGGATGCTAGCAACTCGGACCTACCGCCTTTCAGAAATAGAAACTGATCGGCCGCCAGTGTGTGCCATGTGCTTGATGCACAAGCAGATTGACGTACCGATTGATTCAGCTGGCCTTTTTCCGAAGTGCAATATGTCCGACTGAATGTGGTGGAGTGGAAGGTGTTAAAGGATCTGAGGGAACAGGCGGACACGAGCAAACATACATCTTGTTAGGTGAATTCAATACAATGCTGGTGTTTGACCAATTCAAAAGGCGACATCTTCGGAAATGAAGGTAACACCGTAACAGTGAACGCTCCGTCCTCTGTCGTACAACCCTGTGATTTGCTGGCTTTTATGCCCATCTCAATATAGTTATGGGTGTGTGATAGGAAGACAGATTGTGCATGGCGGAGATAGTAACAGGTGTACGTTCACTCGTACATTTCTCACAGTTGTGCAGCACTGCAAATGTCTCCCCATGCTGCCACTTTTGTCTGTGATGTCGCACTTTACCACGTCTAGCTGCTCATCGTATCCTCGTATCATGTAGGGCCTGACATGAGGGTTACTTCTTTTTCTTCTATGTGCACATGCACGCACAAACACATTTGTGCGCACATGCAGGGAGAGAGAGGGAGGAGGRSGGGGGGGKGGSGCGGAGAGAGAGAGAGAGAGAGAGAGAGAGAGAGAGAGAGAGAGAGAGAGAGAGAGAGAGAGAGAGAGAGAGAGMRGGGKTGGKGGWSAAGTARWGAKRRWGATGATGACAATGACTGTCTTCCGATGGGAACCAAGTTGATTTGCATAAGAAAGTCATGACGAAAATGGTGATGATGATGATGACGACAACAATGATGGCAATGGAGATTTGATTCTCCCTTTTGCACTGTGCTTCGTCGGTGCAAGATGATGTATTGCTTTCTTTTGTGGAGATGATAAGCTTCTCCTTTCCGCAACAAGTCACAAAAGCAAGAGTGAGTCATCTGGCGTGGTTCATTCAAGGTCATCATAGTTCCCATCTATCATCATCAGAAGCAGAAGCAGAAGCAGAAGCAGAAGCAGAAGCAGCGGCAGTAGCACAGGCTCATCTTCATGACTTAGAATGGTAGCCGATCCTCTCCGTTGAGTTCATTTGTGCTTAAAGTAACGAATGTGTTATTCTCTGTACATTAGACCGTATTCTGTCGCAATGGATGAAGAGGAGGAGCCTGGCGAGAAGAGGTATCTGAAGAGACGGATCCGGCCTGGATTGATCGAGCTGGTCCCCGACGACTCTGCTATCATTGTGCACTATGAGGTGGAAGCATCCGTTCTGAGACCAGATGGGAACACCGTTGTTGTGGAGAAGAAGCCAAGTGAGAAGAGGATCAAGGTGAAAGGTCTGACAGCAACATCTGACATAACTGCTTTGGCAAGCGAGATTGTCAGTAAGTGCAAGGTGTTGACGCAGTCGAAGACTCCACAGGTTGAGCAGCTTCTGCATCAACTTCTGCAAAGGCGGGAGCTAGGGTCGGGAAGTCGATTTGATGGAGGAGATAAGGACATGCAGGAGCTGCAGAAACGACGGATCGCAGAGGAGAAGTACACAGATGCTCAACGTCGTCTGATTCGGTCAGAAACCGAGCGTGCACGAATGGAAGACCTGGACTTGTACTTGGAATGGCTGTATGAAGGGATGGATGAGAAGATCAAGGCTTCGTCCATGGTTTGTCAGTTAGCTAGGAGAACGGAGAACATGGAGGGGCTCTTGGCGCACACCACGCTCATAGGTGCGCTGGCTCGAGTTCTGAGGGAGGATGGACGCAAGAGTCTGGACTTATGCCGCAACATCATTTCCCTCTTCTTTGCCTTTTCCAACTTCTCGCAGTTTCATCATGTCATCTTGGAGCATCAGGTGGGGAACATGACAATGAATATCATAGATCTGGAAATCCAACGGACAGAAGCTCGCCTGCAGGCAGAAGGTCCTGCAGCCTTGGCTGTGTTGCCGACCCCCGGGACCGTGCCGTCTGAGAAGGAGATCAGGACGATGCAGCTGAACCGCAAGCAGGAAAAGTTGCTGTACATATCCTTCTATCTGCTGCTTAATCTCGCAGAGGATGTGAACATTGAGAAGAAGATGAAGAAACGTAACATTGTGGTCTACCTGTCCAAGATGCTGACTCGGAGGAGCATTGAGCTCCTCATTCTGGTCACAACCTTCCTGAAGAAGCTGAGCATCTATCAGGAGAACAAGGATGTCATGGCCCAAGAGGCTGTGGTGGATAAACTGGCTGTCTTTGTGCCTTGCCAGACTGAGACGCTGTTGATATGCGTCCTCAGACTGCTTCTCAACCTGTCCTTTGATGCAAAGCTGCGGGATGACGTGGTGCGGAATGGGCTGATACCCAAACTCGTAGGTCTGTTGCGGGCACCTCGCCTTCAGAACCTAGTGCTGGGCCTTCTGTACCACTTGTCGATAGAAGATAAGCACAAGTCAGTCTTCACCCCCACGGAGGCTGTCTCAATTGTCTTTGACTTACTGGTAGAGAATCCGGATACTCTCTCCACGCCCGAGCTCATAGCCCTAGCAGTCAATCTGACAGCGAATGAGAAGAATGCAGAGGCCATGTGTGAAGGTGATGGGTTCGAAGTCATCATCTCCAGAGGAATTCACATGAGGGATCCTCTGATCTTCAAGCTGGTACGCAACTTCAGCCAGCATGAGGACATCAAGCCGAGGTTCGTACCTTACCTAAGGGACCTTGTACGACTCCTAAGAGCTCCGGAGACGAGCAGTGACCTTATGGTCGAGGTCATGGGCACGTTAGGCAATCTGACGAATGCGGCTTCTGCACTGGAAGGCTTAGTACAAGAATTTGATCTCTTACGCTTCCTCAGTAACCACATACACCCCGGTGTTATTGAAGACGACATACTGTTAGAGGTCGTGATCTTCACGGGAACTACGTGCACTGAGGCCTCTGCACCTGGTTTGGTGTCATCAGGGCTTGTGCAAAAGATCTGTGGCCTGCTGTTGGAGAGGAGGGAGGATGATGACATGGTTCTCCAGGTTTGCTACACGTTTAGCCGGTTCATGCTGTACGAAGCTACGAGGTCGGCCCTCATGAGGAATGTGCAGGTGGTTTGCTATCTGGTGGAATTGCTCCGGGAGAGAAACAAGGCGGTGACCAAGATGGCGGACAAAGTTTTGGACATGATCATGGCAGCAGACCCTCATGCCGCCCCCAAGATAAAGAGGATGAAGTTTGAATCGTACAACCACGCCTGGTTGGAGCTGGTCGATGAAGAGAGCATGGAAGAAGAGGAGGATGACGACGAGGAAGAAGAAGAGAGGCAACTGTCCCCTTCTTCGTCAAGCTATGCTGGAAGGAGGCATGCATTCAAGAGGGCTCTCGTCTCTTCTGACGGAGCCGCACACCATCACCCCAGCTTGATCAGGTCTAGTGATGAAGACGAAGCCACCACTAGCGATTTCAGTCCTGTGAGTGCCACTGAAAATTTCTTATCCCCGTGGAAAGACCTAAACTGCCCCGATGACTTTCTCACCTCCATGCAGCTCCAAAACGTGTACTGGAATGATGACATTTATTCGAGGGACTACAGCCTGATGGACGATGTCATCGACTACCAGGATACCCATGGGTACCTTATGTGAAATCAATCAGCCTGCATTCTGTATTGCACCTATTGCCATCCACCCGTTCATCCATCAATTTATTCAGCCATGAAGGCCCATGATCAATTTTCATTAAGGGTACAACAAGCACACCCAACCACTCTTCCAAGCGCCTTGCCAAATATAAGATTTCCCCTCCGGAAAGGAATGAGCAGTTCCATTCCACAGTCGACAGGAGAACAAGGGATTCGAGCCCTTAACCTCAGCAGGTGTGTGTCTCTTCAAGGCATCACAGTGATTGCAGGGTGGTTTTTCAACCCTTCTAGGCTCTAGCATTGGCCATCCGTTCATCCGTTCGTTCCACACTTGCAACCACACCATGCACCGTACCGCGCCGTGCGGCGCGGCACCTGCTCGTGCGCCGTACAAGCGGCAGTTTCCCTGTTTTTTGTGTTTTGTTGCTGTTTTTTGTAGATGCAGAAGAGTGCAACACCTAAGGAACTGATCTTTTCCAAGTACAGTCGTACAGATTTGTTCTTTCCGTCCAATTGGGCATGAGAAATAGCCTCAAGAAGGTGTCTGGGACATCAGTCTTGACCTTCAGGTAGCGGCATTACCCTCCCACTACTTTTTTTTCCGGCCATCCCACAACAAATCTTTAAAGGGGACCCAGGTGACCATTAACCCAGCCATGCGACCGCCCTTTGTTTGAGTGAATATTTCCCCTGTGCGCTGCACATGCCGTGCACCGCACCGTGCGGGTCCGCTCATGCGCCAAATTCCGCACGGCGTCCGCTTGCATGTATTCGTTCATTTGTCAATGTGTCCACTTGTGATACTAAATTGTTCATTCGTTCAGTAGCCTGTTCTTTTCCCATTCATTCATGCGTCTGTCTTCTTGGACTTGGATGATATTCAATCAATCTATGGCGTGTTCACGTGACCTACGTTCTGATCACGGTTGGTGTTGCTTAGAGTGTACCGAGCAGCCCGCATCAGGCAATTGTTCACACAAGCCTGAGATTTGATTTGATAATTTTGATTCCTTGGAAGAGAAGTGTGAAAGGACTGTGTGTAGTAATGGACAAAGGTTTAGACAAGAAAGGGCTATTAAATGTCCATCCATTCGATAGCTTTTTCTTTTCCCATTCATTCATGTATGCCTTCTTGGATGCTAATCAATCAATCCGTGAGGCGTTCGCGTGACGTACACTCAAGTGACGGTTGCTGTTGCTTACGGTGTGTCACGCAGCCTGCATCAGGTAGTTGTTCACACGGCGTGAGATTTGATTTGATTCCTTGGCCGAGAAGTATGAGAGGGCTACTTTTAGTGATGGCCAATGGTTTGACAACCAGTGAGACTCCCAACTCAACTGGATTTCTGAGCTAGTGGCCTCTGAACTGCACATCAGGTCTGTGACTGTCACGCTAGTGTGCATCTGTTGTGGGGGTTGTCAAGACTCAAGAGGCTATGGAATTCCATCTGCATTTATCCGAGAGACTGCAGGAGTGTAGTAGGTTTACTTAATGGTTAGGAACTGCCAAACACGGACTGAGACACAGAACCGATTTCTGAGTTTTGCCAATGGAATGCATGCCTTGCTGAGTTTCCCGCTTGTTGGTGCGTTTTCTAAGTCTGAGTGTGTGCGTGCTTGCTGGTCTGCATGCCTGTCTGAGTGCTTGTTGGTTTGAGTGTGTGTGTGACCCGCCAGGGTACTTGTCCGTGTGGAAGGCCCAAAGGGCCGGTACTTACCTGTGGTCGTGGCATTGAGGGTTGCAGCGGGGAAAACACTCAAGTAGTGGGGAAGGAGGCCCGCTACACTTGAAGCAGCAGAAAAACACTCGAGTAGCAGGTAGGCCGGTACCACACCAAGTAGAGGTAGATGTGCCGGGTACTCGAGGCCTAGCAGAAGAAGACAAAGTTGGCATTTTTAGAGGCCCAGTAGTTGTAGGCTAGGTCGAGGCAGGACCTGTCCAACCAACCAGTCTGAGTGTAGGGCCTGTACGGGCAATATCGGAGTCTGCAATGATGTTTCCCTGCGAATGGGAGGAGGTACCGGTTGCTTGGAGGCCGCGCGGCCTAGGAAGTCACTCGCCAAGAGGCAAGCAGGCCGGTATATCTCCAGGAGGAGCGAAGTGCTCCTGCTCATTGTCGGTGTGCAAGTTTGGCAACACACTGGTTGGAGTGCTGGCCGGAGCAGCGCTAGCACTGCTGGGGAGGAGCAAGGACAGGAGGAGGAAGAAGACCAGGACTAGGAAGGAGCACCAGAGGTACTTACCTGGCTATGGTGGATGTCATCTTCATGACCTTGGCGGGCGCTGCATCTGGAAGGCCCCAGTTGGGGTAGAGCTACACCAAGAAGCTTTGAGGCAGAGTCATGCATGGCAGCCTGATCTAGAGCAGCCATAGCTGCTTTGTGTTGTCGTTTGCACGGCAGGGCAAGGCCCTGGTAGCCCGCCATAGCCTCGGCCTTGGAGTAAGGAGGAAGAAGGGTGGCCGTGGCTATGATGGACCTCATGTGATACCTGCAGTAGAAGAGGGATTCGGACATTTATTCTGGTTCAGCCATTCAACATTATTATTATTGTTTCTTGTTTGAATAAGAGGGGAGGAGATAAGGAGGAGGAGAGAGGTTGGTGAAGAAGAAAGGAATTCTCATTGGTCTGTGCTGGTGTTCATCTTCTTCTTCTTCTTTCTTCTTTCTTTAATCTTCATCTTCTTCTTCTTCTTCTTCTTCTTCTTCTTCTTCTTCTTCTTCTTCTTCTTTCCCTCTCTCTCCTCTCAAGTTCATTCATTTATTTTTGCAATTGGACGGCATTGTACTTTCTCATGAATGTGTACTTCGAAATTGGCCAGGATCATAACATAGTAGACTCTCTGACAAGTTTGAACCCTTCACAGGTTTTGCTTCCCCTTGAGAATCTGTCCATCTGATTCTGAATCTTATGGATCATATGTACAGAGAAGAGTACCTTGCCTTTCTTAAAGAAAAAGGGCGATGGCTTTGAGGTATCCTCATTGCACTGACTGACCCAGGCAATTCAGAGTTAATGTTATTCATTCTATCTGATTCCACCAGGATTGGGGCTTAGGTGTGCTTGTCAACAGTTCATGGGTGTGCCACTCAACCACATCGGCTCGGTGCGAGGAGTACTGTGTCATTGGCTTCTTACGGGGTATCTTTTTCGTTTCAGGCTTACATAACGCTGACCTGACTGTAAGATCTGCCAAAGGCAGTCGCGTCAGTCACAAACAGGCCTTCCCAAACAATGAGCAATCTCCAGAGTTCACTCTCTTGTTCAGAGTCTGTGATGCACCCAGAGATTTTGTGACTCCTTCCCTTGCTCTCCATTGATGATAGAGGAGAGAGGACTGGAGATGGAGCAAAGGAATGGTGGAGCAGAGAGAACAACGGAGCGAGATGGAAGTGTGAGAAATGGGAAGGGGGCAGAGAGGGATGGCGTACAGAAAAGGCGAATGCAGAAGCGAATGGATGAAGAGGAGGATGAAATGCCATGGGCAGAGAGAACGGATGTAGGGAGGGTGTTACATGCTGAGCCTGCACACGGGCCCCATTTTGGGGGCCCGACAGTTGCTGGGGGGGCCCAGGCCGCACGCCTTCGGACATGCGCCGTGGAGGCCCATGGCCGGCCTTAGGGCTGCAGGTTTCGATTTGAGACAGCTTTCATTATTTGTTTATTTATTTATTTGCTGTCCTACTTATGTCTGTTCAGGCGTTGTTTCGGACTTGCAGTTCAGTACGTCCGAACAGACCTTGGGTCTGTTCGGACAAGGCGACGTTTTTAGGCCTGGTATGGACACAGGCAGGCCCTTTCGGGCCAGGTCCGTTGTTGTCCAGTTATGGACACTCCCTGCTGCATCAGCAGGGAGGGCCTGGACGTCCGGTAGGGACCCAGGCAGACCACGTTTTGGCCCAGGACCGGAGGCACACCGAGGCACACCCGCGAGGCCCAGTGCTGCTTGTAGCTGGGCCACGCCATGGCAGACACACAGTTCGAGTAGCTCACTTCTTGGGCGACACGCTGCTGGAGCAGCGCGACAGCGCTACACTAGAGGTAGAGGTGTAGGTAGGGAAGGAGGTAGAGACCATACCTGCACTGAC